CCTGTGTAGATCGTTTTGATCATTGTAGCCCTTCTTGTTGATCCATTCAGTAATGGTGGTAAGGTCTGTATCTGTCATGACTCCCTTGTGTTGAAGTACGTTGAACCATCCCTCTACCATCTCTGTACTGTGTTGCTGAAAGCTTTTTTCAAAAGTGGCAAGTCTGGTTTTACTCATCTGGTCGTTCTGAAAGTCTTTGAAGTTCTTGGTGCCATCCAATTTGAATCTCGGCATAGAGCCAATAATCGTCAGTTTGAAGGTGCCCACAACAGCATCATTGCTTATGGTGCCAGCTAAACAGTTTCTATAGTCTTTTGACTTTGTACTGAGAAACTCACGATGTAATTCTTTAGGCACTCAAACAGTCAGAAGGCCATGATATTTGTGCACATCAGGAATCAGGTTGGTATCCAGAGGAGAGGAATTTGTTCCCACTTCAAGCATGGCTTCTGCTAATCTGCTGTTCTGGTTCAGTTTTCTAGCTTCTAACTAAGGGATGGTTCAGGACTCACCTGATCCAGCCCTAACTATAAGCTTTATCAAAGAGGAATGTCTTAAGCCTACTCTTAAATGTGGTGAGGGTGTCTGCCTCCCGAACCACAACTGGAAGCTGGTTCCACAGGAGAGGAGCTTGGTAACTGAAGGCTCTGGCTCCTGTTCTACTTTTAGAGACTATAGGAACCACAAGTAGCCCTGCATTCAGAGAACGTAGTGTTCTAGAGGGGTAATAGGGTACTATGAGCTCTTTAAGATATGAAGGGGCCTGACCATGAAGAGCATTATAGGTGAGGAGGAGGATTTTAAATTCTATTCTACATTTTACAGGGAGCCAATGCAGAGAAGCTAGTACAGGAGAGATGTGATCTCTTTTTCTAGTTCCTGTCAGTACTCGTGCTGCAGCGTTCTGAATTAATTGGAGCGTTTAAATGGACTTATTGGGGCAACCTGATAATAAAGAGTTGCAGTAATCCAGCCTTGAAGTAACAAATGCATGGATTAGTTTTTCTGCATCTGTCTGTGATAGTATGTGTCTAATTTTTCTAATATTACGTAAATGAAAGAAGGCAGTCCTAGAGGTCTGCTTTATGTGTGAGTTAAATGACAAATCCTGATCAAAGATAACTCCAAGATTCCTGACAGTGGTGCTAGAGGCCAAGTTAATGCCATCTAGAGTAACTATATCTTTAGACAGTGAGTCTCTAAGGTTTTTGGGGCCAAGAGCAAGAATTTCGTTTTTTTCTGAGTTTAACATCAGAAAATTGCAGGTCATCCAGGATTTTATGTCCTTAAGACATGTTTGTAATTTAGATATTTATTTAGATAAATATCAAAAGTTCCAAAACATCTATTGTGTTATTTGTATCGATCCACTATATAAACATAATATCTACATACAGGCATTTGATTGGAGGCTAGTCTCACTTTGTCCCACAGAAACATTTAAATAGTTTAGATTTGTGTACATTGTTTCTGTTAATAATGTATTGTATTAAGTGTCCATTTCATTATAATATTTAGATTTATCATAAATAATTGAACATGCACATGTATTTTGAGTTCCGTTAAAGAGGGGTGGAGGTGGGGTCACATTTGAGCATTTAAAAATGTACTTGAAAGTAACGCAATAGTTACTTTCTGAAGTAACTAGTTACTTTTATAATTTGTAACTTATTAAGTAATTTAGTTACTTTTTGGAATAAGTAACTAGTAACTGTAACTATTACTTTTTAAAAATAACTTGCCCAACACTGGTTAAGTGTAATTAGTTTAATTTTGTAGCTAATTGTTCAGACGAGCATTGTCATACTTTGTGGTTCGTTTCAGGAACTTCAGTTTTACACAGTAGTTTTCTATGTGTAAATTAAGTGACATTAGCACACTGTAACAGGAGAAAATATGTCACATATTTAAAATTTTGTTCAGAGTATTTGTCAGCCACAGTGAGTAAACTGTGATGAGAAAGATTTCATGTTAAAGTTAGTTTCACTTTCCAAGTCACTCGTTAATACGGTGTGGTCGCGCCATGTTGTGAACCGCTGCTGTGAAGTGCAAGTGTGACGTATAGGAATGTTGGGAAAGTTAGGGCTCTTTGAAGTGAATGACGGGAGCCGGCTCCTGATTGGGAGCCAGATCCGAATTTTTTTCTATTAAAGCCGCGTGATTGGTTAAGATGTGTGGCGGCATCTGTGTATCTCTGTGTAACTCAGCAGGAGGGGGGAGGGAGGGGTTACAGACGCACAGTGACCATGTGAACAGGTGGGAGGGAGACTTGACAGAGCGATTGAACTTGCTACATAGACAGAGACTACACACTGGAAAGGTGAGGAAAATGAGTGACAAAAAACGTAATACAGTTTGGACATATATGTCCATATATGTGATAGACGGTTCAAAGGCAGAGTGTAGACTGTGCAAAGTTAAAAATTTCATATTGAGCAGCTTTTTGTCTAATTGAGATGGATCTTTGTTTTTGTATTTTATAATTTATTTTTGTAGCACTCTGTTCCATGTTGAGTATATTAATAAATCCATATAAATAATAAACATGATATAATGTATGTATTTACATTAGATATTCATTTTACACATAATTTGGTAATAAATTAATTTAAGCAACAAAAAATCTGAGGAGCCACCTGGGAGCCGAAAGAGCCGACTCTTTTTAGTGAGCCGAGCCAAAGGAACCGGTTCTCTAAAAAGAGCCGGAATTCCCATCACTACGGTCAAACCACTCGACCGATGACGCCGTCTCCACTGCCCTCCACTCAGCCCTCACCCACCTGGAGACTAAAGACTCCTACGTCAGAATGCTGTTCATCGACTTCAGCTCAGCATTCAACACAATCATCCCCCAGCAGCTCATCCACAAACTGGACTAGCTGGGGCTCAACACCTCCCTGGCTGTTGGACTTCCTGACGGGGAGGCCACACGCAGTTCGGGTCGGCAGCAACACCTCCAGCACCATCACCTTGAACACAGGGGCCCCCCAAGGATGTGTGCTTAGCCCCCTCCTCTTCAATCTGCTGACCCACGACTGCACACCATCATTCAGCTCCATCCTCTTCATTAAGTTTGCGGACGACACAACTGTGGTGGGTCCCATCAACAACAGCGAAGAGACAAACTACAGGAGTGAGGTGAGCAGGCTGGCCACGTGGTGCAAGGACAACAATCTCCACTTAAATGTGGAGAAGATGAAGGAGATTGTTGTGGACTTCAGGAGAGTGCACACCCAGCATACTCCAATAACCATCGATGGTGCTGCAGTGGAGAGGGTGAGCAGCACCAAGTTCCTGGGTGTGCACATCTCTGAAGACCTGTCCTGGAGCCACAATACTGCATCACTGGCCATAAAAACGCCAAACAGCGCCTGTACTTTCTCCGCAAACTGAGAAGAGCAGGAGCCCTGCCCCCCATCATGCACACCTTCTACAGAGGCACCATTGAGAGCATCTTGACAAGCTGCATCACCGTGTGGTACAGCGCCTGCACTGTGTCCTGCGGCAAGACTCTGCAGCGTATAGTGAGAGCAGCTGAGAAGATCATTGGTGTCTCTCTCCCCCCCCTTTTGGACATTTATAACACCCGCATCACCAGCAAAGCAATCAGGATTGCAGGTGACCCCACCTGCCCATCTCACAGCCTCTTCAGCCTGCTGCCGTCAGGGAGGAGACTGCGCAGTCTCCGGGCCAAATCCAGCAGGCACAAGGACAGTTTCTTCCACCAGGCTGTCAGGAGACTCAACTCCCTCCCTGCTCTACCATCACTCCGTCCTCTGCCCACCCTCCCCCCTCTGCCCCCTGCCACAGACTAGGACTGCACCCCCCAACACCACTCACACACTCTGAACTCAGGGACTGCAAATTTCACTTTCCCGTTATTTGCACTACACCGCACTACCTCACCTGTTTAAATACTTATTATTGTGCCTTGCATAAGCAAGCACAATACTATTATTCCTCGGGCTTAATTATTGTGCCTTGCAAAGCAAGCACAATACTACTATCCCCCATACTTATTATTGTGCCTTGCATAAGCAAGCACAATACTATTATCCCTCGGGCTTATTATTGTGCCTTGCATAAGCAAGCACAATACTACTCTGCCGTGTGCTTATTATTATTCTTCCGTACGTTTTTCGGCGCGCTTCTTCTCCCGCAGCTTTTGTCGCACATACACAAAAAAGGTATCAAAACGTGCGGCTCGGCCGGGAATCGAGTGCTATGACTTTTCTAAGCGTTTCGCCAAACGGTTTGCCGGTAAATCGCCAAAAACCGGTACAAAAAATGAATGGGTGTGTATTGCGAGAACCTCCAACTGAAAAAAACCGCCAGAGTGCGTGACATCATCGCTAGAGTGTGGGGAGAGAGAAAAATTTGTCGAAAAATAAATTTGTAAACTGCTGTCATGGCCACAAATTTCACTCTACAGAAATAATTTATAGATAGAAACGTAGGTAAATTCGTTGGGGTCGCAGTGATACCACTGCTGAAGCTGTCAGACAAATAGTTTTGGCGGAAAACGCACTGATGCGCCAGCAACGCCCTCTCACGGCCCCATCTACTCCCATGTTAAAATGGAGAGGAGCAAACTTGAAAGACGCTCGTTGAACCTCTTCTCTCTCAATCTCCCCAGGTCACATTTTTTAACTTTAGCCACTGAAACTCGGCAGCGCTATAGTCAACAAGATGACGATGCTCACGGTCTTTTCGGTTTTCATTTCGGTCGTTCCTGGCCATGGGTTCGAGGGGATTCATTTTAAATGTTTCTGTCTCTCTGAGGAGTTAGAGACAGAGAGAGAGCGTGCGCAGCTGCTGTGGGCTCCCCTGATTGCCATGACAACCAAAGCCTGCTCACACACACACACACACACACACACACACACACACACACACACACACACACACAGCTAGCTACAGAGAATGACAAGACATTAATAAGCTAGCGCTAGCTAGCTGGCTAGCTAAAGATAATTAGCAGGCGGCTAACAAACAAACAATTTAAAGCTGAATGATTTTAATATTAACACAAAATAAGAACAATACACCTTAAATATTTAACCCTACTATGAGCTGTTCCTTAATTTACATTAGCACTCCTTCAGGAGCATAATACAATTAAACACATTAACCAAAGCTAGCACTTAGCTAGCGATTAGCAGTTAGCACTTAGCTAGCGATTAGCACGTAGCTAAGTGCTAGCTCTGGTCAATGTGTTTATGTGTGATAGCTCTAGCTAGCTAGCTAAAGAGAATGACAAGGTATTAATATGCTAGCACTTTAAATATTTTACCCTACTATGAGCTGTTCCTTATTTTACATTAGCACTCCTTCAGGAACATTATACAATTAAACACATTGACCAAAGCTAGCACTTAGCTAGCGATTAGTGCTTAGCTAGCGATTAGCGCATAGCTAACGATTAGCACATAGCTAGCGATTAGCGGTTAGCTAGCGATTAGCACGTAGCTAAGCGCTAACTCTGGTTAATGTGTTTATGTGTGCTAGCTCTAGCTAGCTAGCTAAAGAGAATTAGTAGGTAGAAGAAGGTTTTAGAAGCTAATTAATTAATATGCTTTGTTTGCTAGAGAGGACAAGCTACTAATGTTCTAGCGCAAGCTAGCTACACAGAACAAGGTATGAATATGCTAGCACTCGCTAGCTAGAGAGGACAAAGGATTACTGTGCTAATTAAACGTCACAAAAGACACTGAAATTCTTAATTAGCCATCTATTTCAACTTGTTACACATGACACAAGTAATACAGATTTACTAATGTAATAAAACATCAAGTTAGATTTATTTTGTGAGGAAGAAGACACTCAGACTGTTGTAACTGCACTATGACTGCACAGTAAGAATAGTTTTCTTTCTTAATTATGTATTATTTATTAATATAAATATTGTTATTCATATTATTGATAGCATTACTTATTATTGTTGTTGTTATTATTATTATTATAACTACATACTTATTATTCCCACCATTGTGGTTATTACTTATTTAGTTACTTTAGCAATTTTAATTAAACCATGACGCTTCCTGCATTATCCCAGGACAATATTATGCCAAACTCCATTTAAGAAATACCATATATTAACAATTATTTGCTCTTACATAAAAGCACACAACTGTAGAAACACAAGAAAAAACTCATCATATCTCAACAGTCTTCTTGTTAATTCGGCATCAATATAATACATAAATACCAACTTTTTGGCTGACTTTGTCGCATCAACTCGTTACCAGCCTCACTATTTCAGTGGGAGAAGACCGTGGCAATAGTTGGAAAAAACAAGATTTGTCATTAAAATACGTGGTTGTTAGTGGATCACGCGTACGCCGAATTAAACACGGGTGTCTCCCCTCATTGTACTGTAAACTACTCGGCAATGTCAGTAATGTATGGGCCAGTGTCACGGGCCAGAGCAAGGCACAATCAAAATTGCTTTAGGAATTTTCTAGTTATTGTGCCTTGCATAAGCAAGCACAATACTACTATTCCTCGGGCTTATTATTATTCTTCTTCCGTACGTTTTTCGGCGCGCTTCTTCTCCCGCAGCTTTTGTCGCACATACACAAAAAAGGTATCAAAACGTGCGGCTCGGCCGGGAATCGAGTGCTATGACTTTTCTAAGAATTTCGCCAAACGGTTTGCCGATAAATCGCCAAAAACCGGTAAAAAAAATGAATGGGTGTGTATTGCGAGAACCTCCAACTGAAAAAAACTGCCAGAGTGCGTGACATCATCGCTAGAGTGTGGGCAGAAGGGAAAAATTTGTTGAAAAATAAATTTGTAAACTGCTGTCATGGCCACAAATTTCACTCTACAGAAATAATTTATAGATAGAAACGTAGGTAAATTCGTTGGGGTCGCAGTGATACCACTGCTGAAGCTGTCAGACAAATAGTTTTGGCGGGAGACGCACTGATGCGCCAGCAACGCCCTCTCACGGCCCCATCTACTCCCATATTAATTTTAGAGGACAAATCTTGAAAAACGCTCGTTGAACCTCTTCTCTCTCAATCTCCCCAGGTCACATTTTTTAACTTTAGCCACTGAAACTCGGCAGTGCTATAGTCAACAAGATGACGACGCTCACGGTCTTTTCGGTTTTCATTTCGGTCGTTCCTGGCCATGCTTTTGAGGGGATTCGTTTTAATTGTTTTCTGTCTCTCTGAGGAGTTAGAGACAGAGAGAGCTTGCGCAGCTGCTGTGGGCTCCCCTGATTGCCATGACAACCAAAGCCTGCTCACACACACACACACACACACACACACACACAGCTAGCTACAGAGAATGACAAGACATTAATAAGCTAGCGCTAGCTGGCTAGCTAAAGATAATTAGCAGGTGGCTAACAAGCAAACAATTTAAAGCTGAATGATTTTAATATTAACACAAAATAAGAACAATACACCTTAAATATTTTACCCTACTATGAGCTGTTACTTAATTTACATTAGCACTCCTTCAGGAGCATAATACAATTAAACACATTAACCAAAGCTAGCACTTAGCTAGCGATTAGCGCTTAGCTAGCGATTAGCATGTAGCTAGCGATTAGCGGTTAGCTAGCGATTAGCATGTAACTAGCGATTAGCACGTAGCTAGCGATTAGCACGTAGCTAGGCACTAGCTTTGGTTTATGTGTTTATATGTGCTAGCTTTAGCTAGCTAGCTAAAGAGAATGACATGATATTAATATGCTAGCGCTAGCTAAGGAGGATGACAGGTTATCAATATGCTATAGGGAGGATTACATGGCATTAATAATCTAGAGCTAGCTGGCTAGCTAAAGATAATTAGCAGGTGGCTAACAAGCAAACAATTTAAAGCTGAATGATTTTAATATTTACGTAAAATAAGAACAATACACCTTAAATATTTTAACCTACTATGAGCTGTTCCTTAATTTACATTAGCACTCCTTCAGGAGCATAATACAATTAAACACATTAACCACAGCTAGCACTTAGCTACCAATTATCGGTTAGCACTTAGCTAGCGATTAGCGCAGAGCTAGCGATTAGCGGTTAAATAGCGGTTAGCACGTAGACATGGTATTAACATATGGGCCAGAGCAAGGCACAATCAAAATTGCTTTAGGAATTTTCTAGTTATTGTGCCTTGCATAAGCAAGCACAATACTATTATTCCCCATACTTATTATTGTGCCTTGCAAAGCAAGCACAATACTACTCTCCCTCGGGCTTATTATATTTTATTCTTCCGTACGTTTTTCGGCGCGCTACTCCTCCCGGAGCTTTTGTCGCACGTACACAAGAAAGGTATCAAAACGTGCGGCTCGGCCGGGAATCGAGTGCTATGACTTTTCTAAGCGTTTCGCCAAACGGTTTGCCGGTAAATCGCCAAAAAACGGTAAAAAAAAATGAATGGGTGTGTATTGCGAGAACCTCAACTGAAAAAAACTGCCAGAGTGCGTGACATCATCGCTAGAGTGTGGGGAGAAGGGAAAAATTTGTCGAAAAATAAATTTGTAAACTGCTGTCATGGCCACAAATTTCACTCTACCGAAATAATTTATAGATAGAAACGTAGGTAAATCCGTTGGGGTCGCAGTGATACTACTGCTGAAGCTGTCAGACAAATAGTTTTGGCGGGAGACGCACTGATGCGCCAGCAACACCCTCTCACGGCCCCATCTACTCCCATGTTAATTTTAGAGGACAAATCTTGAAAAACGCTCGTTGAACCTCTTCTCTCTCAATCTGTCCAGGTCACATTTTTTAACTTTAACCACTGAAACTCGGCAGCGCTATAGTCAACAAGATGACGACGCTCACGGTGTTTTCGGTTTTCATTTCGGTCGTTCCTGGCCATGCTTTTGAGGGGATTCGTTTTAATTGTTTTCTGTCTCTCTGAGGAGTTAGAGACAGAGAGAGCGTGCGCAGCTGCTGTGGGCTCCCCTGATTGCCATGACAACCAAAGCCTGCTCACTCACACACACACACACACACACACACACACACACACACACAGCTAGCTACAGAGAATGACAAGGCATTAATAAGCTAGCTGGCTAGCTGGCTAGCTAAAGATAATTAGCAGGTGGCTAACAAGCAAACAATTTAAAGCTGAATGATTTTAATATTAACACAAAATAAGTTCAATACACCTTAAATATTTTACCCTACTATGAGCTGTTCCTTAATTTACATTAGCACTCCTTCAGGAGCATAATACAATTAAACACATTAACCAAAGCTAGCACTTAGCTAGCGATTAGCGGTTAGCTAGCGATTAGCGCACAGCTAGCGATTAGCGCTTAGCTAGCGATTAGCATGTAGCTAGCGATTAGCGGATAGCTAGCGATTAGCATGTAGCTAAGCACTACCTTTGGTTTATGTGTTTATATGTGCTAGCTTTAGCTAGCTAGCTAAAGAGAATGACATGATATTAATATGCTAGCGCTAGCTAAGGAGGATGACAGGTTATCAATATGCTATAGGGAGGATTACATGGCATTAATAATCTAGAGCTAGCTGGCTAGCTAAAGATAATTAGCAGGTGGCTAACAAGCAAACAATTTAAAGCTGAATGATTTTAATATTAACACAAAATAAGTTCAATACACCTTAAATATTTTACCCTACTGTGAGCTGTTACTTCATTTACATTAGCACTCCTTCAGGAGCATAATACAATTAAACACATTAACCACAGCTAGCACTTGGCTAGCAACTAGCGGTTAGCACTTAGCTAGCGATTAGCGCACAGCTAGCGATTAGCGGTTAGCACGTAGACATGGTATTAACATATGGGCCAGAGCAAGGCACAATCAAAATTGCTTTAGGAATTTTCTAGTTAAACTTATTATTCTTCCGTACGTTTTTTCGGCGCGCTACTCCTCCCGGAGCTTTTGTCGCACGTACACAAGAAAGGTATCAAAACGTGCGGCTCGGCCGGGAATCGAGTGCTATGACTTTTCTAAGAATTTCGCCAAACGGTTTGCCGATAAATCGCCAAAAACCGGTCCAAAAAATGAATGGGTGTGTATTGCGAGAACCTCCAACCGAAAAAAACTGCCAGAGTGCGTGACATCATCGCTAGAGTGTGGGGAGAGAGAAAAATTTGTCGAAAAATAAATTTGTAAACTGCTGTCACGGCCACAAATTTCACTCTACAGATATAATTTATAGATAGAAACGTAGGTAAATCCGTTGGGGTCGCAGTGATACTACTGCTGAAGCTGTCAGACAAATAGTTTTGGCGGTAGACGCACTGATGCGCCAGCAACGCCCTCTCACGGCCCCATCTACTCCCATATTAAAAAGGAGAGGAGGATTCTTGAAACACGCTCGTTGAACCTCTTCTCTCTCAATCTCCCCAGGTCACATTTTTTAACTTTAGCCACTGAAACTCGGCAGTGCTATAGTCAACAAGATGACGACGCTCACGGTCTTTTCGGTTTTCATTTCGGTCGTTCCTGTCCATGCTTTTGAGGGGATTCATTTTAAATGTTTCTGTCTCTCTGAGGAGTTAGAGACAGAGAGTGAGCGTCTTGCGCAGCTGCTGTGGGCTCCCCTGATTGCCATGACAACTAAAGCCTGCCACACACACACACGCACACACAGCTAGCTACAGAGAATGACAAGACCTTAATAAGCTAGCGCTAGCTGGCTAGCTAAAGACAATTAGCAGGCGGCTAACAAGCAAACAATTTAAAGCTGAATGATTTTAATATTAACACAAAATAAGAACAATACACCTTAAATATTTTACCCTACTATGAGCTGTTCCTTAATTTACATTAGCACTCCTTCAGGAGCATAATACAATTAAACACATTAACCACAGCTAGCACTTAGCTAGCGATTAGCATGTAGCTAGCGATTAGCATGTAGCTAGCGATTAGCGGTTAGCTAGCGATTAGCACGTAGCTAAGCGCTACCTTTGGTTTATGTGTTTATGTGTGCTAGCTCTAGCTAGCTAGCTAAAGAGAATGACATGATATTAATATTCTAGCGCTAGCTAAGGAGGATGACAGGTTATCAATATGCTGAAGGCAGGATTACATGGCATTAATAATCTAGCGCTAGCTGGCTAGCTAAAGATAATTAGAAGGTGGCTAACAAGCAAACAATTTAAAGCTGAATGATTTTAATATTAACACAAAATAAGTTCAATACACCTTAAATATTTTACCCTACTATGAGCTGTTCCTTATTTTACATTAGCACTCCTTCAGGAGCATAATACAATTAAACACATTAACCAAAGCTAGCACTTAGCTAGCAATTAGCGGTTAGCACTAAGCTAGCGATTAGCGGTTAGCACTAAGCTAGCGATTAGCGCACAGCTAGCGATTAGCAGTTAGCACGTAGACATGGTATTAACATATGGGCCAGAGCAAGGCACAATCAAAATTGCTTTAGGAATTTTCTAGTTATAATATTTTATTCTTCCGTACGCTTTTTCGGCGCGCTTCTTCTCCCAGAGCTTTGATCGCACGTACACAAAAAAGGTATCAAAACGTGCGGCTCGTTGAGGACATTAGTGCTATGACTTTTCTAAGAATTTCGCCAAACGGTTCGCCGATAAATCGCCAAAAACCGGTCCAAAAAATGAATGGGTGTGTATTGCGAGAACCTCCAACCGAAAAAAACTGCCAGAGTGCGTGACATCATCGCTAGAGTGTGGGGAGAGAGAAAAATTTGTCGAGAAATTAATTTGTAAACTGCTGTCATGGCCACAAATTTCACTCTACCGAAATAATTTATAGATAGAAACGTAGGTAAATTCGTTGGGGTCGCAGTGATACTACTGCTGAAGCTGTCAGACAAATAGTTTTGGCGGGAAACGCACTGATGCGCCAGCAACGCCCTCTCACGGCCCCATCTACTCCCATGTTAAAATGGAGAGGAGGATTCTTGAAAAACGCTCGTTGAACCTCTTCTCTCTCAATCTCCCCAGGTCACATTTTTTAACTTTAACCACTGAAACTCGGCAGCGCTATAGTCAACAAGATGACGACGCTCACGGTCTTTTCGGTTTTCATTTTGGTCGTTCCTGTCCATGCTTTTGAGGGGATTCATTTTAAATGTTTTCTGTCTCTCTGAGGAGTTAGAGACAGAGAGAGAGCGTGCGCAGCTGCTGTGGGCTCCCCTGATTGCCATGACAACTAAAGCCTGCTCACACACACACACACACACACACACACACACACACACACATAGCTAGCTTCAGAGGAGCATTTAAGCTATTAATAAGCTAGCGCTAGCTGGCTAGCTAAAGATAATTAGCAGGCAGCTAACAAACAAACAATTTAAAGCTGAATGATTTTAATATTAACACAAAATAAGTTCAATACACCTTAAATATTTTACCCTACTATGAGCTGTTCCTTAATTTACATTAGCAGTCCTTCAGGAGCATAATACAATTAAACACATTAACCAAAGCTAGCGATTAGCGGTTAACTAGCGATTAGCATGTAGCTAGCGATTAGCATGTAGCTAGCGATTAGCAGTTAGCTAGCGATTAGCACGTAGCTAGCGATTAGCGGTTAGCTAGCGATTAGCGGTTAGCTAGCGATTAGCATGTAGCTAGCGATTAGCGTTTAGCTAGCGATTAGCACGTAGCTAAGCGCTAGCTTTGGTTTATGTGTTTATGTGTGCTAGCTCTAGCTAGCTTGCTAAAGAGAATGACATGATATTAATATGCTAGCGCTAGCTAAGGAGGATGACAGGTTATCAGTATGCTATAGGGAGGATTACATGGCATTAATAAGAGGTAATTAGCGCACTGCTAGTGAATAGCGGTTAGCACGTAGACATGGTATTAACATATGGGCCAGAGCAAGGCACAATCAAAATTGCTTTAGGAATTTTCTAGTATTATTATTCTTCTTCCGTACGTTTTTCGGCGCGCTTCTTCTCCCGCAGCTTTTGTCGCACATACACAAAAAAGGTATCAAAACGTGCGGCTCGATGAGGACATTAGTGCTATGACTTTTCTAAGAATTTCGCCAAACGGTTTGCCGATAAATCGCCAAAAACAGGTCCAAAAAATGAATGGGTGTGTATTGCGAGAACCTCCAACTGAAAAAAACTGCCAGAGTGCGTGACATCATCGCTAGAGTGTGGGGAGAGAGAAAAATTTGTCGAAAAATAAATTTGTAAACTGCTGTCATGGCCACAAATTTCACTCTACCGAAATAATTTATAGATAGAAACGTAGGTAAATTCGTTGGGGTCGCAGTGATACCACTGCTGAAGCTGTCAGACAAATAGTTTTGGCGGGAAACACACTGATGCGCCAGCAACGCCCTCTCACGGCCCCATCTACTCCCATGTTAAAATGGAGAGGAGGAATCTTGAAACACGCTCGTTGAACCTCTTCTCTCTCAATCTCCCCAGGTCACATTTTTTAACTTTAACCACTGAAACTCGGCACTGCTATAGTCAAAAAGATGATGACGCTCACGGTCTTTTCGGTTTTCATTTCGGTCGTTCCTGGCCATGGGTTCGAGGGGATTAATTTTAATTGTTTTCTGTCTCTCTGAGGAGTTAGAGACAGAGAGAGAGCGCGCGCAGCTGCTGTGGGCTCCCCTGATTGCCATGACAACTAAAGCCTGCTCACACACACACACACACACACACACACACACACACACACACAGCTAGCTACAGAGAATGACAAGACATTAATAAGCTAGCGCTAGCTGGCTAGCTAAAGATAATTAGCAGGCGGCTAACAAGCAAACAATTTAAAGCTGAATGATTTTAATATTGACACAAAATAAGAACAATACACCTTAAATATTTTACCCTACTATGAGCTGTTCCTTAATTTACATTAGCACTCCTTCAGGAGCATATGACAATTAAACACCTTAACCAAAGCTAGCACTTAGCTAGCGGTTAGCACGTAGCTAGCGATTAGCGGTTAGCTAACGATTAGCACATAGCTAGCGAATAGCGGTTAGCTAGCGATTAGCACGTAGCTAAGCGCTAACTCTGGTTAATGTGTTTATGTGTGCTAGCTCTAGCTAGCCAGCTAAAGAGAATTAGAAGGTAGAAGAAGGTATTAGAAGGCTAGCTAATTAATTAAAATGCTCTGCTTGCTAGAGAACAAGCTACTAATGTTCTAGCGCAAGCTAGCTACACAGAACAAGGTATGAATGTGCTAGCACTCGCTAGCTAGAGAGGACAAAGGATTACTGTGCTAATTAAACGTCACAAAAGACACTGAAATTCTTAATTAGCATCTATTTCAACTTGTTACACATTACACAAGTAATACAGATTTAGTAATGTGATAAAACATCAAGTTAGATTTATTTTGTGAGGAAGAAGACACTCAGACTGTTGTAAGTGCCTATGACTGCACAGTAAGAATAGTTTTCTTTCTTAATTATGTATTATTTATTAATATAAATATTGTTATTCATATTATTGATAGCATTACTTATTATTGTTGTTATTATTATTATTATTATTATTATTATTATCATTATAACTACATACTTATTATTCCCACCATTGTGGTTATTACTTATTTAGTTACTTTAGCAATTTTAATTAAACCATGACCCTTCCTGCATTATCCCAGGACAATATTATGCCAAACTCCATTTAAGAAATACCATATATTAACAAATATTTGCGCTTACATAAAAGCACATAACTGTAGAAACACAAGAAAAAACTCATCATATCTCAACAGTCTTCTTGTTAATTTGGCATCAATATAATACATAAATACCAACTTTTTGGCCGACTTTGTCGCATCAACTCGTTACCGGCCTCACGATTTCAGTGGGAGAAGACCGTGGCAATAGATGGAAAAAACAAGATTTGTCATCAAAATACGTGGTTGTTAGTGGATCACGCGTACGCCGAATTAAACACGGGTGTCTCCCCTCATTGTACTGTAAACTACTCGGCAGTGTCAGTAATGTATGGGCCAGTGTCACGGGCCAGAGCAAGGCACAATCAAAATTTCTTTAGGAATTTTCTAGTTTATTTATCCTATTTTATTTCATCATGTAAATACCCATCATGTAAATACTCAAGTGCCTTGATTCTGATTGTTGATTGTTTATTTTATGTCTTGTTGATAGTTGGTTGTTTATTTTTATGTCTTGTTTAATTGTTGATTGTCTATTTTATGTCTTGTTTAAATTGCTGATTGTTTATTTTTATGTCATGTTGAATTGTTGATTGTTTATTTTATGTCTTTTCTATTTTTTATTGCATGTTTGCACTGTGGGTCAGAGAAGACTGAAATTTCATTTGTGCTGTATGTCGTGCATGTATAGCACATCTGACAATAAAGCTGACATGACTTGACTTATCTTAATACGTATTAGTATTTTAAGACAAAAAGAATATCATCTAAATTTAGAGATTACCTTTATTATGCACCCACCTTCACAGTATACACGGACAATAACCAACTTACTTACGTTTGAGCGCAGCCAAATTGAATGCTGTTGGACATCGCTGAGTGGGCGAGTTAGCCGACTTTCATTTCACCATCAGATATCGGCCAGGCAAGTCCAATACAGACGGGACAGAGCTAAGAGAGACAGTGATGTGCCATGGGTCGCTGCGTTACAGCTGCAACCTGATGCAGATGATACACCCCATGACAGCATTCCGGTTATCACCCCAGAAAATGTTCGAGCTGCTCAGAAAGAAGATGCTTCCATCTGTGAGGTGGTGAACCTGAAAAAAAGAGGATGGAATCATAATTATAGAGCTGGGTATTGCTAAGAACCTCACGATTCGATTCGATTTCGATTCTTTAGGTCACAATTTGATTCGATATTGATTTGATTCGATATTGATTTAAATGCTTCGATATCGATTCAGTAATAAGTAAAGTACATCTTCGGGACGGCGACTTCCGTCATGTGCTTGCGTGTTGGTATGGCGTATCGTGGTTCGAGTGTATACCATCTTCTTAAAACCCCCGTTTTCCACGACAATGGACGGTCGTAGGTCTTT